CTCTTCAGCAAACTCTTCTGTAGACTGCCGCTCAATAGCCAATTTCATGCACCTCTATAAAAAGGCACAAGTGAGTCAGGAGTAAGTAACATCTCCCAACATGAAAATTGTAGGAAAAAAAAACAGTTGAACTGGCGCACATTTAACTGGCTACGAACTGAATACGAAAATTACTATTGAAATAAAGAAAAATACCTGGAACAGACTAGATCCAACACCACCGAACTTCTCCACGAGATAAGCCATGTTCTCCTTGAAATATTGCCAGAGGAATTCCTGGCCTATCTTACTGGAGCTCGCGCCATAGAATAGTAGCATATGATCCTGAGTGCGAGCTTTTCCCTGAAATCAAACCACATTCAACTTCTCGAAGAGAAAAAAAACATGACCATTTTTAATGGGACCGGATAAAATGGAACAAGGATTTCGAGTTTGAAGTTATCATTTGACTTTGGTCTTCTTTGACTGAGTTGCTATATGAAGGTTATGCACAAAATGCTACGCAGGGCCGGTCACGAACGTGCACTTCTCGTGGAAATTTTCAGTAAGTGACTCTCAAGGCTACATTGGCAACTCCTCAAACTGAATGGTTATTTCGGCACTGACCTAGTTACTACCAGTTAGCCCAACAGCAGCAAAATAATCTCGAAAAAAAATCAAGGAAGAATTTATTAAAGGAGATTTCTCCCCAGCTCGTGATACTGCTCAATCGAGACTTTTCAACAAAGGGAACTAAAATACAAAAATAAACGTTAGCAAGCACTTACGTCATGGATGGCATACTTGAATAATCTCTGAAGAAGCTTGGGATCTTGTGTTTGTGAAAGTGCTGTGATACAGTTTCGTTCGACTTCAGGGAATCCTGCATTTTCATAGATCTGGATCAAATGATCGAAATCCTTCTCACCGCCGTAACGCGCCGCGGTGGTAAATATCTGAAACCGAGAAATTGAAAATAATATTGATAGGAAAGTAGTCGTAGAAGTCGATTGAATTCCTTGAGCTTCGGTACACCCGGGTAGAAAACGGAAATAGAACGAGCCAAGACATACGCAGAGGCGGAGATCAGGATGTAGAGGTCGCTTCGACTTTACATGATCAGCGAAAAGCGAACAAGCTTTTTTGATGGTACATTCCTGTCCAGCCCTCATTAAGCGACCGTGAACCACAGCTCGAAGAATGCCACGTTGAGAATCTAAACTAATCACTCTTTTGGAAAGGAAAAAACACTTCTAACTATACTCAATTATTTCAAAACCCAACAATGAAAACCACCCTCAGGCAGGTCAGGATTGGAAAAATACTTAGAGAATGGATGAAATACTCTCGTGACTAACCTTCGCCTTCATGACAGTCCCAACCAAGTTTCTCTCCAATCCTTCCCATAGACCTTATTACGAAAGCATCGAACCTAAAAAAAGCTCATTAAACAAAAGAAGTAGGTCACTTCTAGTAAAGCCAACCGTTTAGCTAATGTAGCGTTTGGAGCGTAATGTAACACGTTCGAGAGATCATCAATTCCAGCAGCCAATGACTGCCAAACAATGTACTCTTCCTCCTTTGTTCATAGCACCCAAAATTGAAAGGAAAGACGAAGCTCGCGCGCGTCCAGCTTGAACCTGAACAGCTTTAATATAATAGAGCGTCTTAAAAAATCAGCGCACGATCTAAATGCGTGAACTCACAAGAGCAAATAAGTCATTAACGATTGAAAAACGATCAAGAAGAGGCATTTTGCAGCTGGAAATGTCAGGAATCATAGCCTTCAGCATCTCTTGACTGTGGTCCACCCGATAAAAGCCAGTTGCTCCAGCGTTCAGCTGTAACACAGAGTTGACGAAGTTATACGAATGGATTATTTTGAGCATTACTTGAAGGTGAGAATTACGATGAAAAAACAATCCATTGGAATCAAGGTAGAGGTGGTCAGTGGCGCAGGATGAACAAAAGACCTATGAGAAACGGCCCAGGACCCGAGAAATAGAACTACTAATTGCACTGATTTAACTCTCATCGGTGCTGTCCTCTTCAACCTGAGACTCTCGCTTGATAAGATGGCTAAGAAGCTCAGTCAGCAGCAAAAGGCGATAGTAGAGGGTTGTCGGGAAGGAACTTGCCAGATCGTGGGCATCCTTCGCTGATTGCGGGGGGGGGGGGGGGGGCCGGCCTGTTTCCCACTAGGTAGTTCACATTTTCGAGGCTTTGACGCTCTGTGAACCCTCGCTTCAAGGAATAATAGCGAATACATAAAGCAAGCTGAAGACTTCTTAGGGCTTGCGATAGACTTGTTACGTTAATGGATAGCAGAGTGGTGGCGCATCGGAGCAACTCACTGAAAAGTGCGACGTCTAACCTCTTAAAATTCGTAAAAAGCCTTGAACACGCATCTAGTCTATGGAACGATTCACGTGAGCGAACTGCTGGTCAAGGACCTTGATTCTTTTAAATCTATTGAGCGCAACCGACAGAGGGACGGACTCACTTAGCCACGACTCATATATCTTAATCGGTTGCATCTTACTGTTAAGATCAAAAAAGTCTGTCATTGTTCTAGTTGCAAATATTATCTAGATGTTGTGTTTGTGGACTGATGGCGAGTGCTTTACGAAGTTACAACAGGAACATAAATGAATGAAATGTTCACCTTGACCCACTCTCCTTCTGCAACGTCCGGCACTTCGACATCCTGTTCACGGTCGACCAAAAGGAATTTGCCTTTCACTTCTGTCGGGTTCGATCCTACGCATACAGTCACTGGTACCTTAAAAAATATGCCTTGCATCCACTTTAAGTGTTTTAAAAAGGGCAAAAATAAAATATGAGCCTTAACTCTATTATAGAAAAACCATTCACCTGCCAAATCGAGTTTTGGAGATCTTCACCACCGTCAGCGATGAAACGTTTTTGAGAAAGGGATAAAATTCTCGTATTTCCTTTCTGCTTGTCGCTGACTGTGATCACTGGATAGCCCATCTGCTTAGTCCACCCAGACATAAGTTTCACAACGTCCTAAGTAGAAACTATTTGAACAACGAAGCTCAACCTACAGAACTTCAACATTTTCCAACCTGTTGAGAGGCCTCTCCTAATGCTTCCCACAAATCGAGCGTAACGGCATTATCATATTGGAACTTTTTCAAATACAGACGTAAACCAGCTTGGAAGGTCGGCTCGCCAAGGTAGTAGAACAACATGCGGTTAATGGCATTCGATTTCGCATACGTGATATTGTCATAGATTTCCTCCAGTTCACATGGATTATCTATTTCAACCTGAAACGCATGCATACTTTAACACAAAAAAGGAAGGAATTTGGAAAATTTTCATAGAAGAGAAAACATTTACAGTACCTCTATGGGATGACTGTTACGTAGAGCATCAAGACCAAAGCCCTGAGCCAGCTCGTCGTTGACAAAATGTTCCCAAATTTTGAATTCTGGGCAGTTATATCCAACAAACAGATATTCCATGAAAGAAGCAAATCCTTCCTTTAGCCAGAGATCCGTCCACCATTTCTAAAACGGTTGCCAATTCAAAAAAGAGAATGATGAGATCCATATCTCAAGCTTCGAATTTTGGCAAACTTACCATGGTTACAAGGTTTCCAAACCAGAAATGAGCAAGCTCGTGAGCTACAACAAGAGCAACACGTGCTTTCTGACGAGTTGAAGACTTAGCCGGGTCAATCAGAAGGGCTACCTCTCGGTATGTCACTAGGCCCCAATTCTCCATGGCACCTAAATTGCGAGTCATCAAAAGCTGAGCTTAACTGTTGTTGATATGCAAATGTAGCGAAAGCAAATTTAAATAGATGGCGATAAG